CCCGCCCCCGCCCCCGCACCTACACGATGCTATCGCAGGACACGGTGACCGGCGGAGCGGGCAATTTACGAGGAAAAGCCGCCAACACCTTTCAGTGCGTGTGGCACGTATGGTGTGTGTGTGTACCGGGGCGCAGCAGGCGACACCTCTGTCGGAGTAACACCAAGTAGTGTGGCCCGGGCGAGCGAGCCTCGCTGCACCGCGCACTCCGGAAGAGTGCAGGGGCGAGTGCGGGGCGCCCAACGCCCACGGGCGCGCGCGCACACATACGCACACACACGCGCGCGCGCGCACGCACGGTCATCGCTCGCGCACGCAACGCCGCCGTGTGCAAGTTTCATGGCGTGGGGCCGGTCAGGCCGCTCATCACGCATTCACATTCACATTTCGCGTCCGTATACACACACGGCACCGCTAACGACCCTCGCAGCACGCGACCTCCTCCGCGCCGCCAACCCCTCCCCCCCCCCCTCCCAGGACCGCGGCACAAGTCAAGCGCGCAGTGCACGGTCACCAGCACCGCCCGCCAGGACGACGAGCACCCCAGGTCGGTCGCCACCCAGTACCGCGAGCCGGTAGAGGGTACATACATATCGCATTCCCCAGGGCAGGACCATCACGGTGACGGCAAAGGCGCGGGCAGGTGACGGATGTCCACGAGGGGGCCACCACTCTCTCTTTGGATGTACACATGATTGCAAAGATAGCGTGATTTCACATGCTTTCACGGATTTTGCATATTATTTTAGAAGATTTCACGCTAAAACCTGCCGGCAGATTATGTCTGATTTGAACGATTACAGATGATTTCAGCGGATTTTAACGGATTTCGGCGGATTTCACAAGATTTCGGTGGATTTTACTTGATTCCGGCGATTTTTAAATGACCTTCTAAGGATTTCACACTAAAATTTGCTGGCAGATTACGCATGATTTAATGATTGCAGGTATATTTCAAATGATTTCGGGAGGATTTCAGGGAGGGCGTACACATGATTTCAGGAGTGGCGGCCCCCTCGGATGTCCAGGTTTCTGTGGAAAACAAGTCGCAGCGCAGCGCCCGTCCATTTGTCGAGGTTTTTCGCTCGCACCCTCCACAGCCAGTCGCCGCCCCGCGTCGTTCTGCTCGACGTCATCGCCGTCCTCGTTGTCTCCGTCAAACTTCGGAGGCAGCGAACACGAACACGGCGTTCGGAGACGCAGTGCACGCGCAGTCCGCAGTCCCCAACCCCCCACCCCTTCCCCAGCAGAGCGTCGGCAGCGTCGAGACCGCGTCGGGCACACTCCGAACAACAATGTTTGCGCTTTACAGTCTGTCTGCTTACAGTGATTTCTTGATTTTGGCACGCGAAACGGGCTACACCACAGGCTGTTATCAAACAGCCCCAGGTAGTTACCGGGTACCCTGATACCCCGGGTACGTCGCGGAGTCCCTCGCCTTCGCCACTCGATTCTTTCTCGCTCAGAATATAGCGAGTCTCCCTGTCTGTTCGGTTCGCACTCGCTAGCTGCGCTGTGGCGTCTCTCTTATCCAGGCGCGGAGCACCGCGGGTCCCTGCGGCGTGTCGTAGGGCGCGGGCCACCGCCACCACCTCCAGGACGCCGTCAGACGGCGACGAGTCACCTACTCAGCTCGGCGGCAGTGACGGGGGACTTGGATGGGCAGGTACGTGGCCACGTCGGTTATCAGTGTTCGAGTTTAGTGCGAGGAAACGACGCCTTTCGACGTTTCCCACGCCCGTTGTGGCGCCCGCTGCGCGCTGGGCAAGCCACCCGCCGAGCAGCTGTGTGAGGTGGGCGGCCTGCCCAGCAGCCGAGGGTGCATAACTCCGAAAAACCGTGCACAGGGATTGGAATCCCTACAGATTCGGTGGGATTCAAAAGATTTTTTTTTTAATCTATAGATTCTGAAGGATTGTAAAGATTGGCAAAGATTTGTTGGGATTGGGGGAGATTAGCGAGGATTGGTATAAGATTGGAGCAGATTGGCGCGGATTGGGGTAAGATTGGAGAGGATTGGCGAGGATTTGAGTAGAATTTGAACGGATTGGAGCCCTATTTTGGCAGGATTAAATTGATTGGGTTTGGTATGGTCGGCATGATTCGTTGGTTTTGGGAAGATTGTTGGGGATTTGAGAGAATCATAGTGAGATTTGGGGAGGTCGCAGGAAGGATTTTAGAAAATTTAAGGACATTTTGATGGATTTTAGCAATTTTTGGGATTTTACGGATTTGAAAGATTTGGGGGATTTGAAAGATTGGAAGGGATTGGAGGGATTGGAGACGGATTGCAAAGGGATTGCTCTATTAAGCGTACTGGGATTTTCGAAGTTATGCACCCCTCGCCAGCAGCCCCCAGCAGCGCTCTTCGCGCAAGGAGACCATGTCGACGCCGACAAGATAGCGAGTTGGCGCACTCGGGGGACGTTCATAGTGATGGACAACCTTCAGGTGGATTGTGGAAAAAATGTATATCGCGAGCGCTCTGCGGCAGTGTTGACAACTAGGAGAGCGAAATTCAGACTAAAAAGGCCGAGAGGGACCCTATACCAGCACACTCTCCGGTGAGACAGCGGGCGCAACACGCGCAACAACACACAATCTCAAACAGGGATCCGCTTTTTTATTTCCGAGTGTGCACACCGGAGCGCGCACTAAGGATCGGCAAGCACGGCAAGCACGTCGCGTGAGCAGAGATCCAGCAAGGCAGGCAGAGCGATACAGAACAGAGAACAGGAAGGCAGTCGTATGGGCACCGCGGGGACAGCGGTCGTCAGAGGAGGACGATGGACAGCCAGGGTGAGGCGGACGACCCGCACGGCTCACGACCTACAGGGGGTCGAGTACCTGCTACCAGTTTGTGCTAGAGCAAAAAGGTTTACGGTTTGTTTCAGTCCTACTCGCCCACATGTTCGTCCACGCCGTCCTAGTCAGCAGCTTCTCCAGTGCGGCCGGTCCGAGGAAGGTGGTCAAAGTAAGCGTCCCAGTCACTCGCCAGGTCCGAGTGAGCAGCCTGATCAACAAGTGCGAGTGCGTGGCCAGGTTTAAGCAAAAGGCACTCGAGCCCACGGTCCACAAACTATGTACCCTAGAGGGGTACAAATATCATGGCCTAGGCTCAGGACAGCCACTGGAACTTATTGGGCCCCCATAATACTTACCCTGGGGTACACATATCATGGGGTGCCCTGTGAGCTCCAGAGTGGGGTCCAGTTATTTGTACCCCACCGTCCTCAACACGTCGCTGACCAACTCTTTTCCTCAAGGGGCCATCGACGAAGACGAGGCTGTTGCCGAGCATCCAAGAATTGAGCGTCTGCACCGACAAGAAGCACGGCCTACACTCGGTGGCCAGCACCACAGTGCTGAGCGAGAACGGCGACGAGTTCATGACAGTGAAGTTCAAGCTGACCTCGCCCACAAAGGTCTTCAGCTCGGTGAGCAAACCAATAATCTATCTGTTCGCGCGCCTGCTATAGAGGAATAGAGACAAAAAACGGAAGTCGGAAATACTACAGACGGTGCCCCATATTTCGGACATGTAAAAAAATTAGTCTTTGGCTTTAGGAGCCCGTCACTGTAAAAGAAATTGTCACACGACGCATTTGATCGCTCTTAAATGTCGGAGACAAAATAGTAATAGAATCTAAAAGCAAAGACACCCTGAAAAGTCAGTTCTTTAAGTAGGTAAACATAATCTCGAGAACCTTTTGCATTAAATTCCATAATGGAAACTATTTTCCACTCGATATAAGTAAGTGGTACTTGTTATGAAGGCCATGTACTTGTTGCAGTCGAGCTCGAGTGCAAAATTGGTTTTTCGGGGTGCAGTTTACTATTCAATGCTTACTTCCGTCCACGGTATCGCAACGATGCCGTTAGAACGTCAGAGATCGGGGGGCGAAAATTGGCTCCACGAAACATCGTAAATGGGCATCGAACTTTGACAGCTCTTTCGCTTACTGGGTGGACCCATGAAGCAACTTCCGGCTTCCAGTTCCGAGTGTTTATCCACCGGTGCTCCAGCGCCGCGAAGGCCTCGTGCGAGTACTTCACCACGTGGAGCTGGGACATCGGGGTGTGCGAGCTCGTGTCGGCAAACGGCACGGCGTGGTCGCCAATCGTGCAGAGCATCTCCCCCAAATTCCACTGCCCAGTTCGCAGCGTAAGTCATTACCCTCCCATTTCTAATTTATAGGTTATTTTCTTTGTTTTTCTTTTTACTATGTCTGATTACACAGGGTGGTCCACAGACCCCTTCCTTTATTTTGCTTATACTGTACCGCATGCATGCGTGCGTGCGGGCGGGCGGGCTTGCCTACTGTCGCTCACCATGGGCGCCTTATGGCCCCGTGCGAGTATGCAACCC